AAGAGGTGCCCTCGGAAGGAAACTGGGCTGGATTGTAACGATGCTTGTCCCTCAGTCCCCTCATCCACATTGCAAACCTTAGCCATACTTGGGCAATCGTTATGAACCGCGGGTCAGTCACCGGGTCTCACAGCAGCAGACAGTAGCCAACTAGCGACGTGTGACAGCAGGCAGGGCACCCTGCGTGCTGCTGCTGCACCCCTGTGCTACACTACACTACAAGTGCTACACATCCCCAGTGTTGATGTTGTCGTGACTAGTATACGCGAATGAGCGGGAACAGATTGCATTTCTAACCCCTGCAAAGCTGCTGGAAGTCTTAACATGTGGAAGAGCTGTGTGAAGTGAACCATGGGTCGGCGCCAAGCTGTCTAGCTTCAGAGCAGCTGCCCTGCCTCTCCCTCTCGCTATATCCGCCACCATAAACAAGTTTAAATAGGACTGATGACCAGGAGACGCGGCTTATTAACAAACGGAGTCCAGCCCTCTGAAACCAGGAGGACACATGTTGGTGGCCTTCGTCCTGCCTTCCACTGATCAGTCAGACCTCTGACCCTGTGAAGCCCATTTCGGAAGTGTGTGCGTCAGGTTATGCTTTATAGTGTGGTAATTTAAAGTTCACATGTTGGTAGCTGTGCAGCGTTTTCTGCCGCGCAACGGTTAGTGACGTAGTCCGAGGCCGCTTGTGACCGGGTTTGGTAGTCATCAGGGGTGCACGGCATCCCGCGCCGTGGCCGCCATTTAGCCCATTTAGCTGCCAATCCTACCTTGTTGTTTCCATCCAACTTATTACTATAAACACTGCTTGAAGGAACTGCAAATATCCTGATTAGACCCCAGCGCAAAGCGACGACAGGTGGCCAGGGGTTCACTTCGCTGCGGGTCGCAAGCGCTCTCACGCTACCTCCGCATAACGTAGCTCGAACTTCAAGATGACTACACTGATGAACCCAGCCGTGATCAACGGCAACACTCTGAGCAACTACCCACCGCTCGAGGTGCGGCTGCGGGGGCCGACACGGAAGCGTGCGCTCGGAACTTCGGTTGGCGGTGTGTCATAAGAATGGCGCAATCGCAGTGCGGTGCCGCCACGCGGCGCCGTGCAGTAGCTCCTGTCCTCCGCATGCCTGCGGCCAACTTCTTTTTCGTGTCTAATCTTTGTCTGTTAACTTGCGGAACGTGTTTCGGGGTCGCACCCATCGATCTGCCTGTCAGAAAATCTTGTTGCTACGGCCTCTGTCGGCTTGCGTCGTCCCTGTTTCGTCCTCATTTGTTTTTTTATTTAGTCTTGGCAGCGCTGGGATGCACAGGTTCTTTCCCACTTGTTTGTCTCTGCTCGAAGCCGCACGCCTATCGCCTGTTTGCCATTGCCACATGAACCGCCACTTCTGAATGCACCTCCTCTGCTCTTTCCTCCTCCCTGCACACTAAAGCATTCCTCCTCACATGCCGCTCCATCGCTCCCTGCCACACCCTCCTGCCCCACCCCTCCCCTTCAGAAGGAGCTTGTGAAGCCACTGTCCGAGCGCACGGAGCCGGCTGGCGAACGGCTGGGCGAGAAGGCCCTGTTCCCGGCGGGACCCTCCAAGGAGGTAGGTACCGTACAGCGGCAGACGTACGGCGGACACTGCGGTTGTACCTTTCCGAAGCTCCTTCCGCGCTCGAGCGCAGCCTCCTTGTGCTCCCGCCGCTCCCGCCGCTTGGTCTTCTCCTCCATTGCCCCCGCCTCCGCCTCCGTCCACGCTGCCGATCTAGGTGCACTTGCAACGCCGCCTTCAAGTAGCAGTTGTTGGTTGCATGCACCGGTGTCCCCACACACTCATACGGCACATGCGCTCCTCTTCCCACCCGCCCCCGCCCCCGCCCCCGCCCCGAGCCCATACCTCCCTCCCCGTCCCCCCGCCCATCGTTCCCTCCCCCCCTGCCCCCCCGCTCCCCCCAGGGCACCCCCGTATCCGGCATCCCCGAGTACCCCATCACGTTGAAGCACCCGCCGCCCGCGGACCTGGACAAGGTCATCCCCAACCCGGGTGCGCGGCTGGGTGGTGGTGGGTGGGTAGATGCTGAGCCGCACTGCTGCTCCCTTCCCCCTTCTCATTCCGTAGCCACTTGCCGTGGCTTCATTGCCTCCCTGACCCCGCCTTCCCCTGGCTGCTGCTGCTGCTGCTGCTACGCATGGCAACCGGCTTGTTTGAAGGCGAACTTTCAAAAAATAATAAAGTGGCATGGCATGGCCGCGCCCCGGCCCCCCCAGGCATGCCCCGCGCCAACAAGGCCGTCTCCCGCGAGAGGCCCAACGGCGACGACCGCTCCCCGGCCGACCGCACCGTGCTGCAGCAGCACGTCATGTTCTGGGACCGGTGTGGCGGGGGGGTGGCGGGGTTGGAGGCGGGGAGGCGGGTGGAGGGAGCGGGATCGGTAGGGCGCGGGTAGGGGTGATATGCCGTGGGAGCTAAGGTTTCAAACCGTCACCTCTCGACTGTGCCCGCTGAGTGTTCCTTCACTGAATCGCCCCCGCCCGCTCGCCCCTGCTTCCATCCTTCCGCAGCGACAACGACGGCGTCATTTTCCCCATCGATACCTTCGTGGGTAAGTGAGTGGTGGCTCCAGGGCCGGAGGGGCAGGGCGCACATGGCTGGTCCGCGTGGCAGATTCTTTTATGCCGAAGGGTGGGGGACCGGGAACTTTAGCATGCATATGGCCAAGCGACGGCAACGGCTGGGTGTTCAGCCGGGCCTGCACAGGTGTTCCCACTTCACGAGAATTTGGCGAGTTTGCCTACTTGCTCCCTGCTCCCTTCTTATTCAGCCTCCTCCACTCCCTCTCTCATTCCTCCCTGCCTGCCGACCCCACTGCTGCCCCCACTCCGCTGCTGCAGGCTTCCGGCGTCTCGGCTTCAACTTGCTCATCTCGGCGCTCGCGGTGCCCTTCATCCACTTCTCCTTCTCCTACCCCACCATCAAGTCCTGGATCCCGGACCCGCGCCTGCCCATCTACCTGGATCAGATCCACCGTACCAAGCACGGATCCGACAGCGAGGTGTACGACACGGAGGGGCGGTTCGTGCCGGAGAAGTTCGAGGAGGTGAGGGGGAGAGGGAGGGGGCGAGGGGAGGAGGATGGTTGGGCGGAGAGGGTTTGGATTAGGAGGGAGGGAGTGAATGGGTTTTGAGTAGATGAAGAGGGAGGGAGTGGAGGAGGCTGAGTGACCCGTGGGTCAGCCTCGCACCCATATGGATGGGTTTCTTTATATACAAGGATGTACACACTGCAATTGCTGTGATGGCCTCAGGTGGCGGGGATGGTTATCTGTAGTCATTATGAGTATGCATAAGTAGGAACGGAGTAAAGGGTTGAGGGCGGTTGCAGGGGTGCTGCTGCCTGCATCCTTGAAGCCGGCTGTGCGTCGCGCGCACCTCACCCGCTACCCCACCAATCCCTACCGCTCAACCACTTCTCCCCGCCACCCCGCTGTCCCGCCCGCTCTCCCTCCTTCCTTCCCTTCCCCTCCCCTCCCCTCCCGCTGCCCCCCATCCCCCTGCCCAGCTGTTTTCCAAGTTCGACAAGGACAACAAGGGCGGTCTGGGCTGGAAAGACATCCAGGAGCTGGTGTACACCAACATGAACATCGTGGACCCCACCGGATGGTGAGCAGCAGGGGGGGGATTATAAACAAGTGCAACAACGCATTGGGGGGAGGGGACGTGTCATGCGGGGGCGGCTTCGGGGGATTAAAGGCAAGAGGAAATCACAGGTGAGGGCAAAGCACGCCCATTACGACGGGAGCTAGCGATGGCAGGTGTAGCGAGGAGCAAAGCAGTACCTTATGACAACTGCCTCGTGATGGCCTCGTGCGCGGTGTTTGTGTGTGACTGCAGGATCGCCGAGCGGCTGGAGTGGTGGGTCACCTACCTGGTAGGTGCCGCTGCTGCCTCTTAATGGTTTACAGCTACACACTGCGCATGTGGAACGTGTGGAACATGGGGAACATGGGATCAGACGGTTTGCCCATGCAGAGGGCGTGTGGATGGGGAAGGAAAACAGTCTTCAGGGTGTGGTATTGAGGATACTATCCCGATGCTTCTTATTGTGAAGTCTGCCTCCAGTCAGCCGGGGAAGGAGATCTGTTCAATCCAGTCCAATCCCCCATCCATCCAATTCCACTTCTCCCCCATTCTCCCCCTCTCCTCTTGCCGTACCCCCTATCCCGTTTCTTTACCGTACCCCCTATCCCATTTCTTTGCCGTACAGCTGCTCCGCGACCACAAGGGCCTGGTGAGCAAGGAGAAGATCCGCGGCGTGTACGACGGTACCATTTGGGAGACGGTGGCGCAGGAGGTGGAGCAGCGCAAGAACCGCAAGTCGGCCTACAAGTTCGACTGAGGCGCTGGGAGAGGAGGACTGGGGTGGGAAAGAGGAAAACAAGAGGTGAGAGTGGCTACATAATACAGAGGGGCTGTCGTGGATGACTGCGGTGGAATACGGTAGCAGGAGGTTGTCGTCCTGGCTGCTGCTGTTTACGCTTGCCTGCTGTTGGGATGTGCAGAACCTGTGCGTGTGAGCCACATGCGGCTGGCTCGGTGTAAGCCGCGTGGCGCAGCGTAGCGTACCGACTATGGCTATGACATGTCGCCAAATTGCAACATAGCATACGCCGTTTCTTGCAGCCCGAACGAACCAACCCTTGTTGCGCAGGCGATTGAGGCAGGCGAGGAGGAGGCTACGTGCGATGGGGGCAGGAGGAATGAGGAGTTGCGGACACAGCTTGGAGGAATGGGAGTTGCTGCCTCGGATGTTGCATGGAATGACAGTTGGCTCTTTACCTGTACGCAACATGCGCCCAAGCATGGGCTAGTCAAAGTGCAAGATCGGCGGGTGGCTGTCAGGGAGGATGTTGCCAAGGACGTTGCAGGCTGCTGGTTGACACAGCTCGTAGATGTCGTACTGGCCATGCGTGCGCACATTGCAGCGCTGGCCGTTGGAATGGTTATTGTAGTTGTGTTGGATCGAACGTTTGACATTAGTTTCGGGGAAAGTTGTCGTAGCTAGTTGATGATTACAAAGTAGAGGGTGAAGAAAGGAGGAGTTGAGGGTGTTTATTTCTTACTTGAAGACGGTAGTTAACCATCTGTAAGGTCCTGATATTTGTTTATTCCCTGTGGACCCCAAAGAAATATGCCGAGACAACGCCAACGTATTGTTTACTGCGATTGCTTCGACTGTCGCGATCGACCGCAAGAGGAAGCACTCACGCCAGAACAGCTCGATGCAGCAACCGCAGTAGCTAGGCAGGAACCGCCTCCAAAGGCGTTGGTCTTGTACGCGACCGGCATTGTGCAAGCATCCAATGGCACAACCAATCTCGACTCATGTACTCTTCCACATTGCAACCTGATCGTGCGGGAGGGAAATTTGGGTCTTCTTGCGGTCCGGAAAGCTCAGGAGGGACTTCAAGGCGGAGTAGGTGAGGATCGGCATTGCAACCGTCGCGCCATAAACTGCTAGGAATTCTCCAGCTTCGTCGTAAATCTAGTACCATGAAATATTTTATCATCAACGGAAATGTCTTCAGGTTCTGGCGTTTCTCCTGCCGTGGCTGAGCTGGCGCAGTTCCTGGGCGTGTACCAGGTGAGGCTGTGCTGGAGGGGGACTTCAACGGGAAGGGGAGGAGCAGGGCAGGTGGTGCAGGAAGCAGCGAGTGCGGTGGGTGCGAGGCATAACTGGCTCGCGCCGTCTGGCCACCTTGGCTGGTCGCCACTCCAGCCAAGCACTACGTACCTGTACCCACAGTCCCACACTTTTGCTTCCCTTCCACCCAATCCATCACTCCTTCCAACTCCTCCCTCATCCCGCCACCTATCGCTACAACACCCCCGACATCACCCTACACCCCCCACCCACCTACCTGCTGCCCCCTCCTCCCCACCCAGGACGCATGCCGCCAGCCCCCCGCCGACAGCCCGGATGCCGCCTCCGCGAGCTCCCTACCCAGCCTGGCAGCTCGGTAAGCGGGGCCCACCGCACCTGCCAGTGAATGGCTGGCATTGCTGGGGGAGCAGTACGGCAGCACACCGCACCTACCGATGAGGGGCTAGCATTGGAGGGGGAGCATGGAAGGGCTAGCATTGAGGGGCTAGCATTGGAGGGGCTAGCATTGGAGGGGGAGCCGTACGGCAGCACACCTGAGCCAAAGGCCATGTGGCGCGCCGCGCCGCGGCTACCACACTCCTCTTCCCCTCGACGGCTTGTCACCCAGCGTTCACCACCCTCATTCAACGCTTGGGTTTCGGTTTCTCCTCTCCCCCCCCTTCCTTCCCCACCTCCCTCCCCATCCCCTCCCCGCCGCAGCTTCAAGGGCATGCAGGCCGCCTTCGCCTCCTCCAGCCCCGCAGCCGCCCAGCTGGCCGCTCGGCTGGGCATGACCCTGGTGGAGCGGCTGTGCCTGGGGCGACCCACGGGACCAGACGGACCCATGGGTCAGCCGGCAGCAGCTGCAGCAGCGACTCCGGAGGCAGCAGCAGCGGTGGCAAGCGGGGAGGAGCTGCAGCTGGTCGGTGTGCTGCCGGAGGCGGGGGCGTTCGCCCGATTGGTGGCGGAGGAGCTGGGTGAGGGGGGAGGAGGGGGGGAGGGGGAGAAGACCCCGTGCGAAGTATGACGGTGTGGGGGTCGAGGGGGTATGGGGACTGGGAGGGGCGTGCTGATGGCGGTGGTCGGGGTGTCACGGTTGCTCCGCCGCAACCTGGCTCCTGTCTTCCGTGTAGCCTTAACGGTATGTCTACACATCCCTCCCCGCATACACCCCCTCCCGCAACACCCCCCCCCCCCGCCAGGCGCCTCCGAGGGCAGCAGCGGTCGCGACCTGCTGCTGCTGCACCTGGATCTGGCAGATGTACGGCAGGCAGCGACAGCAGCTGCTGCGGGGTCATCAGGGGCGGGGACAGCAGCAGCGGAGGAGGAGGGGCAGGGGGCGGGTGGTGGCGGCGTGGAGGGCGGTGGCGAGGAGGGGGTTGTTGGCGACGTGTGGGATGCGGGGTGCGAGGCGCTGGAGTGGGTTGATGCGCTGGTGCGGGGGCTGCTGGCGCTACCCGGTGAGCGGGGGGAGGGGGGGGAGGGCGGAGAGGAAGGGAGGGCGGAGGGCGGAGAGGAAGGGAGGGCGGAGGGCGGAGAGGAAGGGAGGGCGGAGAGGAAGGGAGGGCGGAGGGCGGAGAGGTAGGGAGGGCGGAGGGCGGAGAGGAAGGGAGGGCGGAGAGGAAGGGAGGGCGGAGGGCGGAGAGGAAGGGAGGGCGGAGGGCGGAGGGGAAGGGAGGGCGGAGGGCGGAGGGGAAGGGAGGGCGGAGGGCGGAGGGGAAGGGAGGGCGGAGGGCGGAGAGGAAGGGAGGGCGGAGGGCGGAGAGGAAGGGAGGGCGGAGAGGTAGGGAGGGCGGAGGGCGGAGGGCGGAGAGGAAGGGAGGGCGGAGCTCTTCAGCGCATCCTGCGTGTTAAGAGGAGGACAGGACCACCTGTTCCTGCTTCCCGGCCCTCACCCCTCACCCGCCACCATCACCCTCTCCTCTTGCGTGTGCTGTTCCTGCTGCCCCCCTGCTGCATGAGTTGAACCGTATGGAATTGGGACTCCGTTGCCTGCAGTTGCTTCATACTTCATTTATCCTCCCCACCCCCGCATGCCGCTCCCCCGCAGAGATCCGAGAGCGCACGCTGCTGGTCCTCATGCTCAGTCCCGCCGGCCAGCCCCTGCCAGCCACTGCCGTACAAGGACTTGCCGTACACAGCGCCTCCATCTCCTCCTCCTCCTCCTCCTCCAGCGGACCACCCGCATCGCTGCTGCAGCCGGGCGGCGGCCTGATCGATCCCGCTGCGGCGGTTGTGACGCCCCGAAACCCGGCGCAGCTGGCAGCCTGGAGCGGGGGCAGCGGTGCCGCGGGTGCGGCGGCCGCGGCCGCTGCGAGCGGCATCACAGCTCCCTCCTTGTCGGTCCTGGATGCGGAGGAATTCCCCCTGGTGTCCCGGCCGGTGCAGAGCTTTGAGCTGCTTGGGATGGGGCGGGTGGAGGTGGACCTGCAGGCGCCGGTGCTGGTGGCGCGACGGCTGCCGGGCGTGGTGCGGCGGGATCGGGCGGAGCGGCTGACCTACCGCGAGGCGTTGACGGCTGGAGGCCAGGGAACGATACTGATGGACAGGATTTTGCCGGAGGTGGCGTATAAGATAGGCCGGGCGCCGAAGTATGGAGCGTAATGCTGGGGATGACAATGATAGGGGACGAAGGTGAAGTATCGATGTTGACCGGCAGTGGAAGGAAGGGAAGCGACTTGCTTCAGCATTTCCGTTTGGACCAACTAGTAAGGAAGAAAAGAGCTGGATTGTAACGACTTCCTCGGTCAACGGTTCGCCAACTGACGCGGGTCTGCGTGAAGTACACGTCGGCAGTCGACCTACGCGGATCCAATCTGCAGTTTACCTGGCCCACCCTGCCTATTGAGACGTTGCTATTTAGTTTGATGGCGTCTCAGACGTGCGCGACACAAGTATATGCATGATGTCCGCGGGGCTGTTCTCTGAAGCAGCTGATGTAGATTAAATACAGCTATGAGACGCACATCTGAAGAGTTCCTCGCCTGGCTCTTTAGGTATGCTTCCAAACAAAGGATGTGCGCCCTAGTTCATTTGTCAGACGGTTGAGCTCACCGCCAGATTCCTTTAATTTGGACGCAGCTTCGCGTGCTTGATCTATATACTACGTAGCATCAAGCATGTCTTACTGCCATCGGGCGGGTTCTGGAGAAGCCCATTCGTCATTTTCTCAGCTGGAGCACTCTTCGCCGTCGCATGGATCGCGGTTGCTATCGTAAGGCACATGGGAAAGGTCATTGTTGGATAGAACACATGCTTAAACGGCTACCTTAGCTACCGTACCGCTCGCCAGCCCCCTCCCTTCGCCCCTATCTCTACCTGCCTTTGTCCTCCTCGACTCCGCGCAGTCTACTCGGCTCCCATCTCTTCCTCCTAAACCTCCATTATCCCTCTTCCCCTCCTTCACGCCCCACGCCCCAGATCTGCTCCGTGCTCTTCCTCACGGAACGATGCCATCCCGCGGGTGAAGCCACGGAGGGCGAGGAGGCGGCAGCGGCGGGCACCCCTGCAGCTCGGGGGGGCCGGCGGGGCGCAGGCGGAGTGCCGCGACGGCCCTTCCTGCTGCGGCGGCGGGGAAGCGCTGCCTGGGGCGGTGCCGAGGGCGGCTCTGCCCAGCAGCAGCAGCAGCCGCTGCAGCTGGTGTCAACGCACCCGGGGGCGGTACGACAGGGCTGCTTCACGGGTGAGATCCAGCGAGCGAGCACCCGAGTTGCGGGTCGGGCTCCTGCATGCCGCACCCCAGCCCTCCTCAACTTGCTTCCTTCCTTCCAGTCACCCCACCCTCCAATCCACTCCACCTCCTTCCCCTCCCCCGCCTCCCCCCCGCCTCCCAGGGCCCCTGTGGGTAGTCCCCGGGGCCCTGTGGCCCCCCGGCGGCGACCACCCCGGCGGCGACCACCCCATGCTGCTGCAGCACTGGCCGCCGCCCACACACGGCCCCGCAGCCATCGCACGCAAGTACCATGCCACGCTGCTGCTGCTGCAGGGGGGAGGAGAAGCAGCCGGAACCCCGGCGCAGGGCGGAACAGCACCCGCAAAGGGACATTCCAGCTCCAGCCAGGGCGATAACGGCAGCAACGCTGCTATTAACGGTGGTAGCGCCCAAAGCACGGGAGCGGTGTTGGTTCTGGTTCCGGAGCGAGGCGGCAGCAGTGGCAGTGGCAGTGGGGGCAACGTGCGGCAGCAGGGCAAGGCGGGAGGCGGTGGGGGTGGTGGTGCTGCTGCTGCGGGTGGTGGTGGTGGTGGTGGTTCGCAGGTGGTGGTCTGGCTGGAGGGGGCGACGGTGGACCTGATGCCGGAGGTGCTGGGGAACAGGTGGGGGGAGGGGGGAAAATAATGAGACACTGACGAGGCAACTAACGAGCTGTATAATAGGGCTTCACCATGGGGTGCAAACATGGTAGCCGGTCCATCCCACCCTACCCGAATGGGGAGGGGGGAGGGGGGGAAAGAAGTGTACCCAGGAGGGGGGTGTCGAAGAAATACCAAACCACAAGTGAGGGCAAGACAAATGGGGATAGGTAGCCCTACCGCCTATCATGGCCACAAGGCACGGGAGGGTTAGCGGCCCTCACAGATACCGAGTCCTCCCGGGTGAGCGGAGGAGAGCGGCAGGCAAGCAGACAGACATGCAGGCAGGCGGGCGGGTGGTTAGGGCGGCGGGCCCTGCAGCGGCAGATCCCGCTCATGCTTACCGGTACCGCGGCCCCCACATGCTTTCCTCCTCCCCTCCCTCCCCCGCCCCACCCTCCCGCCCCTCCCTCCCTCCCCCCCCCGCAGCTCCCCCTGGACCCGGCGCTGCCCGCTGCACCTGCACCACCCGGGCGGGCGGCCGCTGCTGGCGGGGGAGCGGTCGCTGTTCCTGTTCGCGGAGTCAGGTGGGGAGCGGGCAGGGAGCCGGGTGGCCGCACGGGCGGAGGAGGAGGCCTGGCGGGAGTGGGCGAGTGGGACTAGGGACTAGGAGCCCTGGAGGTGGAGCGGGATTAGGAGTCATGCATTCCTTCCGGCCTCCCCGGTTAGCGTTCTTTCCCCTCCTTCCCCGCCCCCCCCCCAGGTGCGGCCAAGGAGCAGTGGTACGCCGCCCTGGCTGCCGCGGTGGCCCCCCGGGGGCTGCTGGCCAGCTCGCTGCGGCTGTACGGGGACTACTGCCGCCACATGGCGGGCCTGCAGGTGCGGGGGGGGGGAGGGGAGGGATGTATATGAAAGACAACCTGAAAGTCCCGGGAAAATAATAAAGCCGGAAACTGTATCGGTCGTACGGTATGTGCTGTACATGCCTCCCAGCCGACGCCCACGCCCCCTCACGCTCCCCTGCCCATGTCAGGTGGTGCCGCCTGCTCCCCAGGCGGCCGGCTCGCCCCTCCCACTGCAGCCCCTGCCGGCGTCGGCCTGGCAGCTACCACAGCAGCTACCACAGCAGCAGTCCACCGACACACCAGCAACCAGCATGACTGCGGGCTCCAAGGCACCACAACAACAGCAGCAGCTGCAGCAGTCCCAGTCAGGGTCCGCCGGTGGCAAGGGCGGCGCGGCAACAACAACATCGTCCACACCACCACCAGCGCCCCAGCAGCCCCCCCAGCCAGGCAAGAAGGCGGCCAGCGGTGTGTCCAAGGAGCGGCAGCGGCCCTCGGGGGCAGCCGGCAGGCAGCTGCAGACCCCAGGCAGGTGCTGGGGGGGGGCTGCCTGCTTGGTGATAATGGGGGTGTCTTGTTTCTACCGTGTTTTGTGTTGCCGCAATGGTTGTTGCTGCTGCTTCTGCTGCTCCTGCATCCCAGATGTGATATGTCCCCCCGTACCGTGCTGTCTGCCGAACCATGATGCCCTCTCCGCAACCTACCCGAACCTTCCTTCCTCCCCCCCCCCCGCCACAGCCGACCCGCCCGTCGGTGCACCCAGCCGACCTCGCGGCCGAAACCCCTTCGCCTTCATCCTCAGTCGCTTCAGCCGCGGCCCCGCTGCAGGCAGCCGCGGCACTGCAGGCGCTGCGGCTGGAGTCGGCAGCGGCTCCGCGGTCACCTCCGCCCCAGCCTCCGGACCGCCCTCGTGCGTGCCCTCTGGCGTGGGCCTCAGCACCGCTGGCAGCAGCGCTGCCCCAACCGCTGTCAGCGCTGCCCCTACCGCGCATGAGGGTGAGGGCGGGGGTGGGGGTGAGGGTGCTACTGGCGATGTCACGCGGCAGGAGGCGCAGCAACAGAAGCAGCCGGGCGAGGGGCTGGCGGGCGCAGCAACAACAGCGGCAGTCCAGCCGGTGATGGAGGCGCAGGAGCAAGGAGGCAAGGAGGAGGGCTCTCAGCAGCGGCAGCAGCAGGACCAGCAGCAGCAGCAGCAGCATGAGCGGCAGCAGCGGGTGGTGCAGCTGGTGGAGTTCACCGCAGCTGCCGCTTCCGCCGGCTATGAGGAGGAGGGGCTGCAGGGTACCTCAGGGGGGCGGCCGCAGGCGGAGGAAAAGGGCCTGCAGCAGCCTGACGGGCGACAACATGAACAGCCATCGCCTGAACAGCAGCAGCCGCACCGATTGGAGAGTCCTGACTCGCGCGGCGTTTCGCAAATGGCCGGGGAGCAGGAAGGCAGGGATGCTCAGCTGCTGGAAGCGCGGCAGCAGCAGCAGCATCAAGGAGCCTCTTCGCCCGCAGCAGCAGCAGCGCCCGCACCTGACCACCTGCCGCAGCAGACGCTTCCCCCATCTCCACAGCCGTCACAGCCATCACAGTCTACACACGCAGACCTAACGTCGCCGCCAGTCCCCATGCCGCCTGCCGAGGAGCATTGCGGCATGCGACACCTCTTGTTGCTGACCATTGATGATGATGAGGCTGACAGCCGGGGCGGCGGCAGCAGCCGGGCGGCTGACGACGGTGCGGCGGGACTTAGTCTCGTGCGACCCACGGGTCAGCTGTCACAACCGCAGCCGCAGCCTCAGCCGAGCTTCACCATGTGGGCCACATCCCAGCTCGGGGCGGCAGAGGCGGAACCGTTGGAAGCGGCAGCAGTCTGCTGGGACGCTGCGGTGTCGTCACCTGCGGATGCAGGCCAAGGTGCACGTCCGGCAGCAGCGACAACAGCAACAACGACTGCAACAACAGCAGCAGCAACGCCACCAGAGACCGGCGTGGGTATCGCGCATCAGAAGGTTGACGTCCCTTTTACCTCACCCAGCGCCTCACCCCAGCCGCTGCCTCAACCCATCCCAACATCGTCGCCGAGGGTGATATTAACAGCAGCGACCCACGGGTCTGTCGCACCTCATCCGCTGGCTGACACAGATGATGACGTGGCCCCGTCTACCTTCGCTGCTGCGGCTGACTCCGTTGCCGCCGCTGCTGTAGCTGGTGCTGCTGGTGCCGGCGATTCTACTACGCAGCAGCCCTCCCCGTCCCCAGCCTCCTCTCCTCCTCTGCTGGTCCAGCAGTCAAGGCACTCGGGCAGCATGCCAAACCTCTGGGATGCCGCCCGGACTGCTGCACTGGGGGAGGAAGCGGGCACGGATCAGCCGCTCATGGCGCCTCCCGGACCACTACTGGATCCCCTGGTAACACCTCTGTCCCGAGCAGAAGGGCGTGAGGAGGAAGAGGAGGGTCCTCGGCCGCACCCGGCCCCTCCTCTGCAGCAGCAGCACCCACAGCAGCAGCAGCAGCAACACCCAGCCACCGCGGCAGCCGCTCACAGGAGTCCTCCGGAACCCCGGGAGATCGAGATGCGGGAGCGGCATGCGGTGGCTGCTGGTGGCGCTGGTGGTGGTGGCGCTGCTGCTAGGGGCGCTGCTGATGCCGTTGCTGCTGCTGATGTCGTTGCTGGTGGTGGCGGGGCTGCTGCTGGTGGTGGTGGTGCTGCTGGTGGCGGGACTGCTGGTGGCTCCCAGCCGGGTTCCAAGAGTGCGCCCGCCAGCCTGACCCGGCAGGAGCTGCGGCGCATGCAGCGGGAGGAGCAGGAGCGGATGAAGCAGGTGGGGCGGTGGTGGTGGCGCTGCTGGGGTGGAAGGGCTGCATGGGAGGCGCTTGTCGGCAAACCTTGCGAGAGGACGCGGGGAAGGACATACCCAAGTTGCATTGGGCTAAGCAGGAGGGAAGACAGCTGCTTATCTACCGTTTGTTATTGGCAAAGATGCCAGAACACATACAGCACTTGAACGCTTGCGTGTGCCTGTGCAGGAGCAGCAGCGCGCCAAAGCGGCTGCCAAGGCGGCGGAGGAGGCGAGGCGGGCGGAGGAGCGGGCGGCACGGGATCGAGCCCGGGCTGAGGCGCAGCAGCGGCGGCAGGAGGAGGAGGCGCGAGTACGGGCGGTAGGAGGGTCTGGGTGGGGGGGTTGGGATGCAAGTAGGGGCGCGCAAGGCGCTGCGGGAGGAGGAAGCTACGACGAGATGGTACGGGTGCTTGCCGTGACGCTTGATGTGCTGCGGTTGCACTCGATATGGTTCGAGATGTCGAGGTGGTTCGAAATGGTTCTCGGCTTTTCGTGTCGCCTACAGACAGACAGACAGACAGACCGGTGCCCACTCCCCCCAACTCCCAAACCACACACGGTCGCCTAACGACATTGCTACCGGTATTACTGCTTTACAATGATTCCAATACTACTCGGTAGCTCTATTACAACATAGCCAACGGACTTCACTTCACCTGTGGCGTTTTCGGTGGGAGGACTTCATCTTTCGGCAATCACAGTACGTTTCGCCTCGCGGCCAGTTATTTGAACACAACACACATCACACATCACACAGGCGAGGGAGCGGGAGCGCTCGCAAAAGCAAATGCGGTCCGCCAAGTCCATGCAAGACCTGTCAACGGCTGCTGCAGCGGCGGCGGCAGCGCCAAGTACAGCAGCAGCAGCCGCCGGCGCCGCTACGGTCGGAACAGCACCGTCGACGCCGCCAGCCTCACGCGCTTCGTCTTCCGGAGGTGCGGGAGGCGGCCCGGCTGTGGCGGCGGCAGCTGCTGCCGATGGCACTGGTGCGGGTGCTGCTGCTGGCCCGCCAGCTATTCCGCTACAGGGGTCGATAGGGTTAGCGGCGACGGCGAGGGGGCTTGAAGGGGTCGACAAGGCAGCCACCTTGGCTGCTGCTGCTGCTGCTGCTGCTGCGGAGGCGGCACCGCAGCCGCCTGTGCTGCCGACCAACATACCGGTACCCCCGGCCTCCGCACCACCCGGTGGGTACCGCCGTTGTTGTTGGCCACTCACTGTCACTGTCACATTCTGCATACGACAGCACACGAGCTGTAATCACGAAGCCTTGAAAACCCTTTGAAAGAACTTGGTGATATAGCTACTCATGTCGGCCTTTCCGATAAGCGCGCAACAGCCTTCAGCCTCCAAACAACAAAAGGTAGCCCCAACCACCCAACCACTTCGCCCAACCACCCAACCACCTCGTCCAACCACCCAACCGCCCTCCCCCCCAGGTGCCCTCGTGGAGCTGCTGCACGGCCTCAACGCGGTGCTCATGCGGGTGGGCTTCGAGCTGCTGCGCCGCGCCGGCTTCCAGGGCTGGCTCCGAAACCTCATCCAGGAGCAGCTAGACCGAGTGGGCCGGCCCGGCTTCCTGCACGGCCTCACTCTGCGGCGGTTCGATCTGGGCTGTACGGCACCGCAGCTCCGGGACGTGCGCGCCGTGGCGGGTGCGTGGGTTTCAGGGCACGTCGGCTTCTTCCGGACCGTCTGTTCGTTCTTGTTAAAGCAAAATTTCTCACCTGCTGTTGCGCGTTGACTCAACCCCAACCCGCAGGTCCATTCAACGCCGGTCCTGGCAGCCCTGCCTGGCCGCAGCTGGCTCTACAGGTGATGGGGGTTCGGTACCGAGGGGGAAAAGGAGGTGCTGCATGCAAGAAAGCCCCGGCCCGCAACGCTGGCTGTTCCTTTTAGGCCACACCACAAGCCCCGAGGTCCCACCATAAAAACCCGCCTGCCCTATATCGTATCGCCCCATACCGGTATTGCAATTGCCGGCCTTCGCCTGCAACTCGTATGCGGGGACCTCAACGCGGCAATCCCCTGACAAATGACGATTAGGCCCTTTCTCCCGTGCTGCATGGCCTTGTTGCAACGCACCACCGGGGCGTACACTCTGTGTGTTAAGAAAACTGGCACTCTGTGTGTGCACGGTTACCCGCAACCCCGCAGATCGTGTGGGTGGGCCACGCCAGCGCCATCATCGCCACCAAAATCGACTTCGACCACTCCTCCGCGGCGGCGGCGGCAGCGGAAGTCGCAGCGGCGGCGGCAGCGGAGGCAACCGGGGCGCCACCACCCAAGACAGAGGCAGCAGCGGCTGCAGCGGCGGCGGAAGCCCGTGCAACACCCAGCGCCGAAGCTCCAGCCAGCCAGCTTCCACCAACCACGACACCACGGCATTCCAATGGGGGCGAGCAACAGGGGACAGCTGAAGACGTCGCGGACGCTGCTGCTGCTGCTGCTCCCGCCGTCGCTGCGGCAGCGGTGGCGGCGGCACCGTCCGGCCTGGGTAACAACTCAAATTCAAATACGAAGCACCACCAGCACCACCAGCAGCAACAACAGGATAGTATCCCAGTCTCTGGGGAACCCCCGGCGTCCCAGGCGGTGAGCCCCGCCACCCGGCCGCTGCTAGCATGCGAAGTCAGCGGTGGCGGCCAGGAGGCCGAGGGTGGCGGGGGTGAAGCAACCTCCGCTACTGCTGCTGCTGCTGCTCCAGCATCGGGGACGGCCGAAGCGTCTGCGCCGGCAACCGACAACGCCGCCACCAACACCACAGCTAGCGGCGGTACAGCACCGGCAAGTGCCCCATGTGGCGGCAGTACCAGCGCTAGCGGCGGCGGTGGCGGCAGCACAGGCGCTAGCGCTAGCGGCGGTGGCGGTGGTGGCGGGCGGTTCTGGTGGAACTTCGTTCCCTTCTTCTCCGTCATCCGCCGCACCGGCCAGGCGCTGGCTGCCAACCTGGCCGGGCAGCTGAGCGGCACTCCGCTGGAGGTGAGGCTGGCGGCGCGCGGCTTCGAGGGCACACTGCTGCTGTGGTTGGCGCCGCCGCCGAGTGACAGGTGCGGCGTGCGGGGTGCGAGAAGAAGAAGAAGCGTTTGGTTGCGCAACCCAGCTCTCAGCTGCTTACCGGTAGACTAGCCAGACTGCATGCCCGCTCTTACCCTGCACACCTCACAAGCCCGCCCGCCCGCCTGGCTCTCAACCCCACCTGCCCCCCCCCCCCACCCATCATCATATATATATATTTTTTACCCCCCCACCCCCCATACACCCCCCACACACCCCAACACCCGCATCAGGCTGTGGCTCAGTTTCGCGGAGCCACCCCGGCTGGACTTCTCCGTCACGCCCGTGCTGGGCAGCCGCCGGCTGTCCGCGGGGCTGCTGGTGGGCAGCTTGTCAGCTTGGGTGCGGGCAAAGGTACGGCAATGGGGGGCGGGTCAGGGGGCAGCGGCGGGGGCCACGGGGGCGAGGGCCGCGGGGGCAGGGGTGGGGCGGGGGGGGGGGTAACTGACCGATTTTGGGTTTTGAAGAGATCCCTTGTTGTAAATGCGAGGGCCGACCTTCATAGTCACACACGCCGTTTAACAGTTTGTCAACCCACTGGGATACCTGCCGCGGTTGCCACACCCTTCGGCCCCAACCTGCATCTTTCTCCTCATGCTGTGCATGCATGCATCCATCCGTTGTGTGTCCCGGCCTGCCCCGGCTTCCATGTCCCCTCACCACCACCACCGTTGTACCCCCCATCAATCCCCTCACCACCACCACCGCCCCCAGGTGGTCGCGGGGCTGTCCCGCGCCATGGTGTTCCCCAACTGTGTGGACATCCGCCTGCCGGGCAATCTGCTGCTCTCACCCGACACGCCCCGAGAGGCGCTGCGCAACTTCGCTCCACCGCCGCCCGCTCCCGCACAGCAGCCTCGTCCCTCCTCGGCTACGCCACATGCCAAGTCCACTACCGCTACTGCCACTGCTACCGCCCCCGCTGGCAACGCTGCTGGTGCAGCTGATGGGTTGCAAGGGGCGCCGCAACAGCGGCAAGGCCACCAGCAGCAGCAGCAGCAGCAGTCACACGCGACATCCAGGCACACAGGTGCAGCGGCCCCAACGCAAGTCCCCTCTCATGCGGCTCTCAGCGCGCAAGAACCGTACACCGCGTCGGCGGCCTTACCAGGCGACATCGCTGCAGGCGGACTCGGACCCGGCAGACCCGCGGGTCGGCCCCCCCGCCATCCACTCTCCACGTCGTCTGGCTACGCCACGCCGACAACCGCAGCGGCTCCCGGCGGGGGCAACGGAGGTCATCAACGACTAGCGACGATGTCCCCTACCTCCTCCTACGCATCCCTCCTCGCCGCTGCCACCGCTAGCGTCCTGGGTGCGGTGAATGGCGGCGGCGGCGGCACCGGCGGCGCTACTTCTGCTGCGTCTGCAGGCGCTGCGACGCCGCCGGCGGCGTCCGCTTTCTCCGCTGCGGCCCTGGCGACGGCGGCAATGGGCCTGGGCGGGGTCGGCGGCGGCGGCAGCAGCAGCCTGCTTGAAAGCGCGCTGGGTCACATGTTCCGTCGTACTTCTTCCCTTCTGGGCAGCAGCCCGGGCACCTTGTCACCCCTGGACGGCCTGTCTGACGCAAGTGGGGACGACGAGGGTGGGGATGCTGTGCATGGTGACCATGAGGACGAGGAGGAGGAGGAGGAGGAGCAGGAGGAAGGAGAGTACGGCGAAGAGGGCTTTGCAGTAGAATACGACCATCACCATCGCCACCACAACCACCACCACCATCACCACCGCCAGCACCACCACCCAGGAGGTGATGACTACGATCAACCCGAGCATGAAGTATGGGAGGCGGCAGCGCGGCTGCATCAACAGCAGCACGACGTACGGCAACAGTACGGCAGCGCTGACGGTGGGAGCGGCGCGGACGTGGACATGCAAGCGGTGCTGCAGTCGCCACCGCTTTGGGAGCCGTACGACGCTTCAACTACCGGTACTAACGGTACTAACGGTATTAACGGTAGCATTGCCCATTACGACCTCGCGCCGCCGGCTGCGATCAGTGCCCAGCAGCAACCAACCGCCACACCTCGTGCAGGTGTGCAGCAGCCTGAGGCACTTCCGCAGGCATCGGTGCAAGAAGTACCGGCACAGGAGGGTCCGGGGCAGGGCCGCGCAAAGCCCCCGCAGCAGCAGCAGCAGCAGCAGCAGCAGCAGCAGGTCATGCAGCAGCAGGCGGGTCCGCGGCGAGGCAGCGGTCCGCTGCAATGGGCGCGAGGTGCGGCTCTAGCGGTGGCCCGGGGTGTGGGGGGTGTGGGCGGCGCGAGTGTGCGAGGGCTGGGGGTGGTGGGTTCGGCGGTGGGGCAAGCCATGCTGAAGCCCCTGGTGAACGCGGGCGAGCGGGCCGCACAGCAGCAACACCGGCAGGGACAACAGCAGCAGCAGGGACAGCAGCAGCAGCAGGGACAGTCCTCGGAGCCCCAACTGATGGAGCTTCAAACGCGCACAGCGCCGCAACACCTCCAGCAACAACAGGACTAGATTGGGAGGATGACACGGATGGCTCGTTTAGACATGGTGTGTGAAACAAGTTCGGACGTGGCTTTCCGGAACGGATTGACCTGCAAGTGGGACAATGTTGAGTTCGGGAGTACTGGTTGTTCCAGCGCATACATGCTGTTGAGTGGGTCGGATGTGGAGTGTGAGAGCACGAGTAGCAGCAGCAACCACAGCCACAACTGCGACAGGTGCCAACACGCCGCAGCGTCAGATCGTTTTTGTGTCCACCCGTTGCCAAACTTGATGTTTTGTGCATTCCTCCTGAGATGGAGGTGGGTGTCAGTGTGTGCGGTGAACATAATGATGCATATGACTCGCTTGCATGCATTTGATTGGTTGATCTGGAGGGACATCTGCCCGGAATGAGCCAAGCAGCCCTCGCGACCTACAAAGGCAGCCTGGTGGCTCACCGCCTATTGAATCGGCTATAGGGCCCTAACACGCTTGGCAATTCTTGCCAGGGTGGCGAGGGTACGGGGGATGCCGTGGCCTTCGACAGCTTGCAACGGGCTAAGCGGGCAGCGGGCCAAGACCACAAGCTGCTATTGTATTGCAGAAACAATTCCCAGAGGATTATGCGGCGCAAAGTCTAAGCGGGAGGCGCGCAAGCTTACATCCCGATTCCTGGCGGACCTCACGGTTTTGTCGTACAGACATCTGGCTTACAACACAGCTCCAGAATCAGTCCTTAGTAGCATTAGTATACAACGCTTCTGTGTCATCTGATTATTGCTTTAGTTTAACAGGGACTGCTGTCTTCAGAAACGCGGGAAGATGGATGTCAAGCATTTAGCTCGCTCCCTTGGCATAATGCAGCAGCCGGCCATAAACCGTGCCAGCGAGCTTTTACGGTTACTTAAGCTGAAGATTCCAGGCGGCTTAGGTCAGGCAAGTGCCTGCGACCTTGCCCATCTGCCGCTTCCTTCAGGAATTGCCAAACTTTGCCGCGATATGAACGCAGGGAGAAATATGTAGACCAGCAGTGTGCTTAGAGCTAGCCTGCCAAACGTAAGCGTCTTCTGTTTTTGAGTTGACAGCTGCGTCCGAACGCTAAGTCGCGACCCTGGTCGTCACGTGCGGTACGCAGGACTCCGGGCAGCAAACTTCCGACTCGGGAAGAGTTTGTACGCTACAGCTGCTCTACAGCTAAGATCTACAATGAAACCTTCACTCGGATACAGCGGCTGTTGGACGTGCGGCCAGCACTGGACTTGCGGGAGCTAGTGACGCTCTTTGGGTGAGTCAGCTGCTGTTTTGTGCGTAGTTACTTTGACTAGGCATAGCACCTGAAGATATTGCCTGCAAACCCTTATCTTCAGTTTAGGCCTAAGCATACCTCGCCTATTACGCCTCCGGTCCACAACTAGCTAAACCCGCGAGGCTGCCTTATCACACGACCAGTTAGTTGTTTCCTCTTTGCCCCCTGTTCCCTCGCCTCCCATTTCCCAGGTGTTCACAGCTCCATGACAAGGTTCAGCAGCTGATGCGGACCTACAAGACTCGCTTCCTGGAGTCCCTACCCCAAGCTGATCGCGGCCGCGCTGACCTCAGCCGGCCCGTCTTCCTGGCTGCTGCGTTCTTGCTAGTCGCGAGAAAGCATAAGGCCACCGTTGACCGTGCCGCGCTAATAGCAAAGATGGGCCTTACGCGAGCTGAGCTCACGGGCGCCATAGAGGACGTGGTGGCGCGCTGCGAGGACCTATTGGTGCCGGCGGGGACGAAGGGGCGCAAACGGGAGCGAGAAGACGGGTAAGGAGCGGGCCCAGAGGTGCTTCAAGCGTGGGGACAAGGGGAGTCCTTGGCGCTCGAAGATCGACCGTCGGGGAAGTCGCTGAGGATGATCGCGAGGTGCTGAGTAAGCCCATCCCAGAGCGCTACTGATGGGGGAGTTCTTGGGTGAAGAAGCAAGTCCAGTCGTTGCCAATAGTCCATGGCGTGTCCTTGACTGCATCGTACTATGCCCTCCATTGTTTTGTTCTGTGCCCATACAGTGCGGATGCGGAGAGGGAGGGGGCAGATGGCGAGTCAGCGGCTGCACACGCGGGTGAGGGAGCGGGTGGCAGCCCCGGGGAGGCTGCCCGCCAGGCAAAGCCACGAGCGAAGCGCGGCAAACGTGCCGCCTCACAGCGTGAGGATGAAGAGGAGGAGGCTGGTTCTGCATTGCATCCGGCGGTGAGCAACTCCGGGCTGAGGGGGCCGCGACAAGGATCGGCTGGGTGCCTAATGAATGTAGTTGCTGACTGTGGCGGTGACTCAGACGCGCCGAGTTTCGGGTTCTGATAGATTGCAAACCTCAACCTGCCTCTTAGCCACGCAGCCGGAGGGTAACGCAGCTGCTTCCCCCCCCTCCTCCTCCTCCTCAGGATGTGGCGGTGGAGGATCTCAAACTGGTTCTCATCGGCATGGGGGGACCCCCGGGTCAGGCCGGCTATGCAGATGACGATGCAGCTGATGGGGCCGGCATGACCACCGGAGGCGGCCGCAAGGCCCGTCTCAAGACCTCGCGGAAGAAGGCGGTTAAAGCCAGGGTGGAAGGCGACGAGGAGGAGCAGGTGCAGGAGGGGCAGGCTGCGGAAGAGGGTGAGGCGGGGGCTGGCACGACCAAGGTTTGCCGACGGAGGGTCGTGCGGGCGAGGCACGCTGGGTGTGACGTTGACGAAGACGATGAGTGAAGGGATGTGTAGGTGAGGGACGGCGCGAGTGGGCAGCTGAGGTAGGCTGCCGGGGCAAGTGGGTTATTTCGCTGCCAGGGATTTGCCACTTTGGGATTGAGGAAAGTGCCAAAGCGCCGGCCAGTGTGCTGTCACGCATGACTGGGTGAGGGAGGGGACGTCCGATTTCACACACACGAACGCACGAACCGAATGCATCTGTTGCAGCACGTTCTATAATGAGGTTGAGAGTGTGAGATACTGTGGGGTGCCAGGCATACCTGGAACAGACTTTCGTTGCATTGTGTTGATGTTGTTGACACCTGTTGAACCACCTGCCGATTTGGTAGGAATTGCTGCTGGGGGTGTTGCCTTTTGAGTTGAATGACGGTTACAACGGCTCCCTAAAAGGGAACATAAGTGAGGAGGCATGTGTGCAGGTGGGTGTTGCAACTTGGCCCACGGGTCGCAGTGCATGCTGGTGAACGTTTACAAGCCGAGCTGGGCTTTGAAGGCGGCGTGTAAGACCCTCGACCATGTGCTGTAGCAGCAAGAAAGAAGCGGCCCAGGGAGCCCCTTTTACAAGGCACCCTCATTCCATCCATACGTTGCACGCAGCATACACGTCAGCATAATTGCTTTCATTTATAAGTCACCTTGCACTTGGATGCACCAACCTTCTATCGCTGTATATTCCACCGACCAAAACTAGTACATGTTCCATCGACAAACTAGTATGCAGCTTGAGTTTCAGCGTACATGCTTGCAGGCGCCTGTGCGATATCCAGTGCGTTAGCTAACTAGCCTGGATTGCTATCACTCCTAAACGTCCACCTGAGCCTAGTGTCTGGTCCGTCTGTATGCCTACCGCTAGCTGTCACCGGTACAAGCCGTGCATACGCGCGCAGGTTGCAGTCGCCACTACGCCTACCTACAAGATATACCATGCGTAGAATGCATCCTGTATTTCCTGTTGGACTAACACGCTGTTGGCCATACCAAAACAGCTTCGGCCATGGTCGGGGCTTGCCTGCCGCACCCTTACAGGATGGGCTCGTGGCCGTTCCAGTTGACCTTGACGCCCGGCCAGCGGGTCTCAATGACGCACTCCAGGGGCGGGATGTTTTGCCCCTCGCACTTGCCCCGGTCGCCCATGGTAGAGCCCACGCGGGCCGTCCAGCCGCCCCGCGGGTCCTTGGCCACCGACAGCCTGATGATGCTCTCCTGCGATCCAGCAAGCAGCAGCAGCAGCAGCGAGGAAGAGGTGTTGGCACTCCGTGCACGTACGGTTTCAGTAACCCACCCGGCTTCTCAATACTCCCGCAACCCATCTGTTAACATACCATTGCTCACACGAGCCCTTCCGCATAAACCGCACTTCCACCCCCACACATCCTACGTTCACCCAACTTCTCGGGTGTCCTAGAGGCCACATCAGGCCACCCAGGAGGTCAGACGACCCCCGCCAACCCCCACCTGGTTGGCTAGCTCGTCATAGTAGAAGAGGTCGAAGGGCAGCTGGTTTTGGAGCGCGCGCGCGTCCTGCGCGAACAGCACTGTGAAGTGGCTCTCGGAGCAGACCACCCACACCGGCAGCGAGGGGTTCTTCAGGGAGGGGCCGACCTCCACGTACCTGCGGACAGGCGCGAAGCGGGCGACACGCGGGCAGAGGTGGGAAGCAGGCAGATGTAGCAAGAGGCATGCAGCACGCAGAGGAAGCCGCATGGCGGGAAGGACCGGACAAGAAGGCGCGTTCGGTGGCTTCGTTCGAAACATGGAATGGCAGATGTGCTTGCCTCCACGGGACCCGATAAGAGCAATTGCTACCGGGATACGGCAATGCCACAAACTCACTTGTACCACTCGAACAGTGTGAGCAGACCCAGCCGGCAGCGGCGACTGACGCCCTTGAGCGTGGTGGTGCCGTCCAGTTGCTGGTTGCCGTCAAACACGTTGGAGTTGGCGGTGCCTGAGGGGAACACAGTACATGAAGGTTAGCAGCGGCGCAGTAGCCAAGATACCGTCACCGGGGCAGGCGTCTTCTCGGTTAGCGCCTATTGCTGATCCCCCACACGCTGTGATGCGGGATTGAGTACGGTGATAACTTGCTCAGGGTCGTGACCCACTTGCCCATAGCAACTGGGAACACAGGAGCCAGCGACCCTCGCTCCAACCCACCCACCCACCCACATAAACACCCACGCATCTAACCACACCCACACCCACCCACCACTCACCCAGCAGAATGAGGTTGACCAGCTCCTGCGTGCAATAGCCGTGCATGCCCATCAGGCTGTTGCCCGGCTCGTCCATGTCGGCCTGAGACATGCCGCGAGGAAAGGACGTGGGGGTTGTCAGGAGAAAGTAGAGCAGATGAGAAAGAGGCACAGGACGTCGGATAGGCGCGGGTTTTGCAGGCAAACCCGCAAGAACGTTCCTTGTGCGCTGCTCCGCCGTACCCGTGCCGTACCGTAACACGTTGCGCGGCGGCAAAGCAACCACGGTCCTTACCTGCACGTTTGCCACTCCGCGGGTGAGCGCCAGACTCATCACGAACAGCACCACACCCCAGCCGTCCTCCGCCATGAGCACCGTGAGGGAGCCGCGAACCAGCTCCTGAGGGGCGGCGAAACCAACATGGGTGCCATGCAGTGAGGAGGACGGGAAAAGGCATGGGCTTTGTGGCTGCGACGGCAACACAGGCTACGCTATACGGCAAAGTCTGCAAAGCTGCATGGATTCAATCAAGCGCACACATGCACGCACGCGCCCCACCGTGAGTGCTTCCTTGCTTGCTGCTGTGTGCTGCGCCACCGTGCGACTCAGCGCGTCGTAGCCCAGCCGCCCCGCCGCGCCACCCGCCTCCCCCTCCGGCAGCAGCAGCGCCGCAGTGGGCCCCATGCGCGCCTGCCACAGCGACTCGGACAGCGCGGCCGCCAGTGCCGTCAGCTGCTCCTGGGGCCGGGGGCTGGTGTTGAAGCCGCCCGAGGACTGCGGGGGTGGGCACAAGGCCGGAAGGCTACAACTCAGAAACGGGTGTGCCTTGGAACTGTCAACAGCGTACTATAGAAATCACTAAACCCGCGACATGCCAGTAACAAGGTCTCTTCATAGCGCCATCCAACATAACAACGGGGAAGATCACTAGACAACAACGACAAGTGGACCCAGTCGCACGCACCGGCACATGCAGCGCCGCCAGCACGTGTGCCTGCACGGCCGCCAGCACGCCGCAGGGGCCGCCCTGCCGCTGCACCAGCCCGAACTGCAGCCCCGCGTGGCGGCTGAAGAAGAAGCCCTGCTTCCAGGAGGGCGGCGGCTGGCCCTGGCCGCCCCACAGCAGCTGCCGGAGCTGCCGCATGAGCTCGGGGGAGACGGGCGCGCCCTGGGGTCGGGATGGGACATGGGAGGGATGGCTACAGGGGTAAAGAGGAAAGCGGCTATGGTGGGCGAGGAAAAATGTGCGTGTGTGTAACTGGGTTAGAAACCGCAGTAGGAAGATGAGAGGGGATTGGGTGTCTGCTATATGTCAGCCCAAGCTCATTCCTCCCAAGTGGCGATGTGGGTCGGGTAGTAAAGCAACCGCAGAGTCCCTCCCTACTCCACCACGCAACCGGGGATAGTACACACGTTTCACCCCGCCTCTCACCGGCTTCCTTGTGGCAGGTCCCGATATGCGCATGGCTCCGAAACCCGATGTAGGTGCTGCCGCTCCCACATCGCCCTCGTCATCGAAGCACACGTCCCCCACGTCCTCCATCACCAGCTCCCCGCCGCCCCCCCGCAGCCCCGCGCCCATGCGCTGCTGCTGCGAGGGTGCTGCTGCTGCCGACCGGACTGCGGGTGGTGAGCTGTTGGCGCCCACGCTGCGGCTGGCGGAGGTACGCGAAGAGGAAGCGGTGGCGGCGGCGCCGCGACCGGGGGTTGCGGCCGGGCGGATGATTTCGGGCTCCTCATCTTCGTCTTCATCGCGGCTGCAGCAGGGTGACGCAGGGGGGGGAGGGACTGGGAACTGAGAACAGGAAGGCAAGGGTCGTGGGACCGCCTAGCTGGGGCACGTTCCCTGGAGCTTCCCGGCCCTACCTGCTAGTTCCCAAAACACGCCGCGTGCCGGGCCCTGGAGCTGCAGCCCTGGCGGCCGGGGGCGCCGGGTCGCCGAAACCAAAGCCCTGCCGCGGGGGCCCCGGCCGAACGGCGCCGCCTGGAAGCAAGGCGGGGCGAGGCAGGCAGCGGCAAGCATGGTAATGCAGTGGAGGATAGTGCAAGCATGGGCAGGAAGTAAAGGCACTTAGATTAAGAAGCAAGCTCTAGTAGGCAGGCAGGCAAAGGAAATCTTGCCAGAAGCGGGGTGAGAATTACAGTGTTTGACGATGTCCAGCAATGGACAATGCGGAGCATGTATACTACAAGATGCACGGACGGCAACCGGGTGACGATGCCGCTGGCGTCATCAGACAGACACGCCGGGTTCAATTTCCTTCAGCACCCAAGGCTGGGTGCAGAGCGTGTGGGTATTGCGACTTGGCCCAACAAGTACGGTACGTCTCCAACTACTATTGTTTGCTACTATATTTGTGGCATATTGTGGCATCGGAATGCCAAAGTGCCGGCTGTGTACCTTGCTGCGCGGCAGGCTGCGGGGCGTGTTGGGCTGCTGCGGCCCCCGGATGGGCGCCGGCCAGGGGACGGAGCGACACACGCGGCGGAGGCGGCCCCTTGCCCCCGCAAGGCGCTGAGCACCCCGAGCCAGCGCCGGTTCGGGGCGGGCCGGGTGGGCGAGACACCCGGCGTGATGTGGCTGCTGCTGTGGCGGCGGCGGCGGTGGAGGCAGCTGTCGGCAGTTGAGGTAACGAAACTGCTTTAGAGGATCTGCGGCTGGTTTTCCTACGCGCCTGGGTTGCATGGGTAGCAGCTTGGGTGCCAGCCGGCGCAGCATTCTGGGTTGTCGGGACTGAGTTTGAGACCTGCCGCGGCTGTGCAGGTGTTATATCGATGGAGCCGCGAAGTGCGGGTATAGACGGCGGCGGTGGGGGAGGGGGCGGGCGAATAGGGCTTGGGGCCGGGCGCGGCGGGGGTAGGCCCAGGACGGGTGCGGAAAGCGGTGGAGGTGGGGTGGGGACTGTTGCCAGGGGCTGCGGGTGGGCCGGGGCTGAGGCGGAGTGCGGTGGTATTGGAGCCAGGGAGGAGCGCGATGTCAGGCGCTCCTGGGCCGGGACGGGTGGAAGCGGGACGGAGGCTTTGGCTGGGGCTGCGGCTGGGGTCGCAAGGGGAACCAGCCGGGGTGGTGCGGTGTCCTTGGCTGCCGGTGCGACGCAGCGGGGCGCAGAACAACAGCAAGGGGGGATATGCCGTTACGGCCGCGGGACCGCCGTCCCATCCCAGGGTGTGATCAGAATATAAGATCGGTATATGGCGTGGGAACAGGCTCTAGAGGAGTTTACTAGGCCGGCAGGATCGCTGCGGCGTGCTATAGAACCCAAGTCCGTCTAGTTCGCACACACGAGGTTTTCGTAACACCCGCTAAGGCCACCGAGCGCAGCAGCAACAACGCAGGTTTCAGCTTTTGAGCTAGCGCCTTTTCCGTAAGGAAATGCTAAGCCTTGTGAAGGCGTGTGCCCAGATTTTATAACAAGAGCTTGCTACAGAATCCTTAAAATGGATCCAGGAAGATGGAGGATAAACCGGGGTAAACCTTATGTTGCTGCTACCATAGATAAGCCGTCGCCAGACAAGGGACTCCTTTCCCGTCGCTCCCAACCCCTCATTGACACGCCCAAGGCTTACCAGGCGATGCAGAAGCGGGGGCGGGGGCGGCCGAAGCAGCTCCAGAGCCGCTGGGAGGCCTGCGGGGTGATATGATGGCGATGTGGGTTTTCACAATTACGGGCGCTGCCAATACCCACTTTGCAGCCTGGGCGCAGATTTTCGGCGGCCCAAAGCCTCTCCTTTGCATCGTCTATCTAGCGCCCCAATTCCCAAACCACGCAAAGCCACATCAAGCAGGCCCTTGTGGCGGTCACCCCTAGCGGCGGCAGAATCCGCGCGACCCAACATGCCAAAGCCTCTTGCCTGCGTGTTAGGGCTGGTGAAGGCACGGGTGCGGACGACTCTTCCGGATCGTCAGCCTCCCGAGGCGGAGTGCGTGCGGGCCGAGAGGCCTACAGCCCCGCAGGATGGGAAAGGCCGCGTGAGGAAGTAGACAAACAAAAAGCGGGGGTGGTTGACAGAATGCAACAGGGTCGAAATTGAACTGATGCACATGTTGCTATTGTGTACAAGCATGGCAAGTTGAGCCATGAAACTGTGGCGATGGCCACAGGGGATAACTGTTGTACGTGTCACTGGGTAGCAGCGCCGACAGTGTGTGACCGTTCATGGAGCTGACTCCCAGCTGTGCCTTAGCCTGCAGTTCGATTGCGGATGTGCTTGTAACCCTCCCTGCCCTTACATCTTCAATCCTTGGGCAACGACAAGTCCCCTAGCGATATAACGACTGATTTCACACAGGCGTCTCAGCCGCATAGGCTACCTGCGATGACTGCGTCGATATCGGCGCCTCCGGTCCGCTCGCCAGCTTGGCCATCTGGTAGTTGACCCACAGCTCGAGCGTCGAAGGAAGGCTTTCCACCGTCGGGTTCTGCTTCTTGTAATAGGCTGCTGCCTTATCTAGACCGAGAGCCTTGCGAAGTACTTCCCGCTTGGTAATACTGTTGCTGTGCTTCGGCTAGAGGACAAGTGCATGGGTAGGGATGGAGAGTAATTTGAGCGGTGTCAGGCAATGTGTAGTTATTTTGGTTATACTTTATAGTGCAAAGCTACCTGGCTCCACGCTTCCCTCACCTTTTCCCGGTTGTAAGCGTCAAGGGCAGACGTGCAGTTGGCACGCACAAGATACTCCCGCACAAGCGCTTCCACAACGTCCAATTGTAGAGATGCCATTAGTCGTGCCCTGAAATCATTCGAGTCCCTAGGAGTTCAGTGGCATGCGAGAGTGCTCAAACCTGTTCCACCTGTATGGCCTTACTATAACATAAATACTATAGATCACAAACTAGAACTATGAGGTGGGAATCAAGTATGCGGCCTACCGGTGCCCTACATGGGAGAAGGATTGCCGTGATGCGATGCGTCGTCTAATCTTCTTCGTCAACAGCCATTAAGTTTGTTTTCGCTTGGTTACTTTAACAAACACCTATTTATACCTATTTCCTTGTTGCATAATTCCCATGTTCCTCAAAAGGTGCCATCCAATGGTGTCTTGCTTAACTTCTAAGCTTTCCTTAAGGGTTTTTGCACGAACGCAGTGCAGCACGGTTTGCTTGCTAGCTTGAAGACTGCATGGCGCCTGCTCGACGGCCAGGGTTTCACTCGGGATACAAGGAGGCATGGTTCCTGCAGCAACGGGTACACCCTGCTGGACCACATTCAATTTACTATTCCTTTTGTCTCACTGTTCACTCCGGATGCAATTTTGCCTTAGGATTCTAAGCTCCCCCAACCTTACTCCCTGTCAACTCGTTCGCAGTCGCAAGCGTGGCCGTGCCGTGTCCTGGGCGACACATAACACACATTCCTAAGTGGCGCATGCTGCGTGTCGTCCACAAGGCGGGTCGTCTTCGAGCAAGGACAGTAGCAGGAGCGCGGAAAATGGCAGAGAAAGAAATCCGGAAAGCGCTGGCCGGAGAGGAAGCCTTTGCAAAGCCTCTCAAGACTACATTGACGCTATGCCAAAAGCAGAGCAAAACACATCCCCGCGGTCAATTACTGTACCTCCCTAATGCGCGCCTCTATCTCCTTCACGACGAGCAAGTCCTTTTTAAGCCCGGAAAGCATGCACGGGCCCGCAAAGCACCGGACGCTACTTCCACCGCAGTGGCCGGTGCGCCAGCGCACATTCGGCATTCAACTGCCCACATGCAAGCGACTGCAGCGCCCAGTACGACAGGACCCGAAAACACGCCGAGTCGCGTATACGCGGGGTGTTGCACACACCTATAGCTCATCCCCCAAAGGCCCTATGGCACCTCTGGCACTACCAGCTATCGCCGTCAAGCCAAGCCGTGTAATAGTTAATGAACAGTCACGGTGTTTCTTTTAGCGCACGCGACTAACAAATCAAAAGCAGGTTCTACACACTCTGCCAAAAGTACATCTGCTCCGGGGCCTGGAACACGCGCGAACGCAACCTCTACAGCAAATTGCCCCGGTAGCACGGAAAGGGGCACTCATGCAACACGGCTTCGCTTCTCCCGAGGCGTTCGATGACTTTTTCGGATGGCTTTCAGCACATTCTTCCTAATCTTCCTCCCATTTGGCACCCGGCCGGCCATAACCCAGTAGAAGCTTAAACCCCGGAACCGCAGCCCAGCCTACTACCGGTAGCCTCCTTACTACTGCACTCATCAGCCCGCCGCTACCTGCTCAAAAGCGTCGTCGTCTTCCCCCCATGGGACCACCACCTCCTGCAGGGCAAGTGCTCAACCGTACCATTGTGGGGGCATCAAACGCACCATGCAACGCCGTACAATGCCATATGAACGGGAGTATTAAGGCAATTACCGTGTCATCGCAGCGCAAGCACCCCCACCTGCGTGCCACCCTGCATGCATTCCGGCAGCCGTTGCAACCCAAGCAGAGGCAAGAAACTAGAGCCATGGTGGGGTGGAGGGAATAGGAAGGCCCCGGGCCCCTTGCTTGTTTCCCACTCCACGTGTTCAACACGGGGTCTGTGTAGCTCCACAGGAACAAGGGCACAACAAAGTAGCACGAGCGAGCCAATTCACTTGACCCAGATGTCTTCACGCGCAAGGGCGCAACCCGAGGGACGTAAGCTCAGCCCTCGCCAACTCGCCAACATCAACTCTTTAACCTTCGCCGTATAGGACGCTAAAGACAATAGTACTCCCTCACACCAGCGAACCCGCTTTGGGGCTCGACCCACATCGCAACGGCTCCTCTGCAACATCTGTGTTTGCATCCCAGTCGGCCGCCGTGCCCATTCCAAGTGCAGCATCCTCCTCCCTGACCAACACTGCGACGATACAAGCCACGACCAGCCATGTATTGACCCAACGCCCCTAAACTGACGTGACGCACCCCCTTCTCACTCGCATTCCGAATCTGACGAGCTGGACACCTGCTCGCTTCCGTAGCTAGCCGCCACAATCAGCGGCTTACCCCTCCTCGCCCCGGGGACAGCCGGCACGGCCTTTGGCGCCGCCGCCGCTACCGCCGCCGCCACCACCCCCATGTGGTGGCCCAAGGCACCCGCGGGTGCTGCTGCTGTAGCCACACGAGACCCAGATGACACGGCCGCAGCTGCTGCTGCGGCTTCCTGCAACCTCTGCGCATGGAAGGCTGCGATCTCCTCCTCCGTCAGTCCACCGTCGCCCTCATCATCTCCCTCGTCCTCGCCAAAGCCAGGCCAGCCTAGCGACCGCATGAACGCCTCCTCCTCCTCCGGCACACCCTCGGACCCGTCAGCCAGCAGGAGCTGCTGTTGCGGTTGCTGCTGCGGCTGAGCAGCTGGGTGGCTGACAGCTGCTTCTCGGTGTGCCTGCTGAGGCCCGTCCTGCTGGTGGTGCGGCGGCCGGCTTGCAGACAAAGGGGTGTCTTGCGTGGCCAACTCAGCGCCGGTCGTGAGCGTGGACTGGGGTGCACTTCTGCTTGGCGTGGTGACCCGTGGGTCGGTCTCAAGCGCCACCTGAGATGCCACGCCGCCGCTGCTGCTGATAACGCCGCCTTCAGCCGCCCGACTGGTGCTGAAAGCCAAGCCTGCGAGGTTGCCCGCTGATGCAGAGGACGTAAACGGGTTGGCGCTTGAGGCCGCGGCCGCTGCAGTTGCTGCTGGCGTAGTAGTGGCGGAGGCGGCGCGGCCTAGGTGAAGCGGCCGATCCAAGGGCTGTGATGCCTTTTTGGTTGAGAGGATCACAGCTGAAGCTGAGGACCGTACCAGTGGGCTGCCCGCTGCGCCTCCTGAGGCCGCCGATGTCGTCAGTGCCTCATCTCGCTTCCCTGGCGGGGCTACCTTGAGCAGTGCGGATGCTGGCTGTGCGGATTTGGACCCCAGCGCGCCGCTGCCGCCGCCACCCATGCGCCCGCCAGCGCCTGCTGCGGATCCCAAGCCCGAAGCTCCGCCGCCGCCCAAAGCACCACCCGTCTTCGCCTTCCCAGCTCCCGAGCTGAGGACAGGGATGAGCTGCTTTGACTGTCGTACGGCTAGCTGCTCTAGACGGGCCTTATTTGCGGCGGACGCTACGACGGCGGCGGCACCGCCGGGGCTGTTGTTGCTGCCCCCACCGCCTTCTGCGCTTGCTGACGCCGTCGCACCGCCAGCCGCCCAGACGCCAGATGGCCTGGGAGCCGCCGCGACCGCCGGCGCCGGCGCAGCGATCTGGGTCGGCGTCGGAGGCGGCGGCGGGGAGGGTGACGGCGAAGGGGTAGTTGCCGCCGGCGGCGCACTGGCATCTTCATTAGCCGGAGGCGTTGACGGCTGCGACTGCGGCGCCGCCGCCGGGGCCTCCGCCAGCTTCGACGTCCAGTTTGAGGTGGTGCGGGAGGACAGAAACGTCTGCCTGTACGGCACCACAACCGACGGGGAAGACGAACCGCCGCCACTGGGGTCTAGGAGAGGAGAGGAGGCACTGGAGGCCAGCAATGGGGAGGAAGCCGCCGTCGTCGCTGCCGCTGTTGCTGCTGGGATGGCCGCCGCCATCACCGTGGGGGTTCCAAGGGAAGCAATTGCGGGGCCGCCCGGCGCCGGTCGAAGCGACGGGAAGTCCTTATCGAACGCAACCTGCGACAGGTCCGAAGATTAATAATCTGTGAAATGGGTCAGTTCTAATTTAGCGTACGATAGTCAGCACACTCCTAGGCTTGACCACTGGGCGCAAGAGCGTCTTGTGGGCCGTTGGAAACGTGTAACAACAACACCCCTTCCCAGTGTCACAACCTGGGCAGCAGCGCCTTCCAGGTACCCGCTGCGGTGGGAATACATGCATTCTGCCCATGCCGCATCACCTCCCCAGCGCTACACCAGTATCCCAAGGCCAGACGCTCGGACTCACCTTGCTGCTCGGTGCTGCGGACCTGCCGCGGCCCTCAGCAGCAGCGGCGGGACCCGCCAGCAGCGCCGACCTAGCCTGCCCCCCTGCCGCTTCATCCCCCCTGCCGCTTCCAGAATGACTGCGAGACGGCAACCAGCCGTCGCCGCCGCCGCCGCCACCGCCGCTACCGCGATCCACACGACCATCGCCGCTTCCCGGCTCACCGCCGCCAGACCTGCCGTACCCTCGCCCTCCTGCACTGCCGTAAGCCGACCCCGCCGGCCTTAGCGAGATTATATCACGGTCGCGGTCCCGGGGATCGCGCTCCCTATCCCCATCGCGGTCGCGGTCGCTGCGACCACCACCGGCCCTGTACGGCGCCGCTGGAACGTAGCCTGATCTGCTGCCCGGTCCCGAACCTCCGAAACCACTACTACCGCCACCGCCGCCAACACCACCACCGCTGCTGCTATTGAGGTTGTGGCTGTGGCTGCTGCTCTCACGGGGTTTCCAGAAGCGGTCAGGCCCGCTGGGACCACGTTCTTGGGTGCGCCCAAAGTCAGCACCGGGTTGCTTGCTGCTGATTGATGGGGCGCCGAAACCGCTGCTAGAGCCGCCTCCGGGGCGTGATGGCCAGGAATCGGCCTGGGGTGCTTGCCGGGCTGCGGTTACGCCCAGCGGCTTACCACGCTTGGTTGGGTCGGAGGCGTCACCTGGGGCGGCAAGGGCGAGTGTCAAGCGTCATACAAGGGCAGCAAGAACTAGTAAAGCAACGCATTTAGACAGGTGGCGAGAGGCGTGGGCATCGCAGAGCCACGAAACAACACTTCAGTCAGCAGGTGAGATGCTTGAGTATACCTCGATTGTGAAGTGCCGATGAACTAGTACGAAGCCACTGGGGAACGAGCAGCTTTGGGCTGTCCTCCATAAGCGCAGCCCAGCTCCCGGTCCATAAGCCAAGCGCAGCTCCGCTCCTCGGAGCGTAGCACTATTAGCTTTATTGCAATCCTACTTAAGCTAAGAGTTGTTTGTGACTGAACGGAGACGAAGTCCACGGGCCCAGGGTTAACCCCCAGCCAGTCGCGGCGGCTCGTAGCGACGCAAAGAAGTAAGACGTCCTTGCACGCGCAGCAGGATGATTTAAACAAATTAGTTTATCAAGTTGGAGTCGGGCGTCTGCGGACGGGGGCTACGTGGTGGAAAGGAATGCTTAAGAAAGCGGTAAACTCGTCTTCCACACCACCTGTGTGTAAAATATGAAATTATATGCGGGTAATGGCTGGGTATCTCTTGGCGCTACAATAGGAAGTGGTTTCCCGATGGACGATAGTTGGACGCATGCACGCACCGGCTTGATACGCCAACCGGTCAATGCGACCCGAGCTAAAGCGAGTTGGGCTAAGCTCTAACTGTAATTTATAAACATCCACAACTTCCTACCTTACAAGACTTAAAGACCGTTTCCTTCACCCCCAATTAATACGTTCCTGAGATGTCATCTCCCTGCTTATTGTGCCTCACGTTATAGGCAATAGGCTATGAGGTGATGAGCGATAATAGCAAGCACGCCCCTTATCAGGAGGAACGGAGGTAGCCCTGAATCAACTCGGCATTGGGAACTGGAGGAGAACCCATGGGGAGCACATCAGATAACATCTTCACCTATGCACACGCGCGACATGGTCAGTCGTTGTTATGATGACTGTGACTCGATAAACGGCAAACCCGACCATTCCATGCCGACTGCTGCTGGCCCTCGCCTTTACCCTACCCAGATATCTCTACTACCATACACCACTGGCAGTTGCGCGACTTGGTATCCGCGGGTGACAACTCTGATGAGCTGTTGTACGTGTGCGATTCCAGCATCCTTCAGTACAATGCTTCTACAAGAGAGGTCCGTTGTCAAGAGGGGTTTACTATTCAGTCACATGGTCTTCCTCAGCCTGGTCGCTTCCCTGGAAACCTGTCCTCTGTAAACCTGGTCCTTGCCGCCACAAGGACGGGGTTTCGAAGCGGCTGGCCTCCTCTCCCACACACACCCTGTGTCTCCTTCCCCTTATTAGCAGCTGCCCTACCTCCCCCCCCCCCCAGGCCACGTCGGTGCTATCCCTGGACTGGTGCCCCAACAGCATGACGTATGCGCACGGCATAGTAGCAGCGGGAGGCCCAGCCAGCCAGGTACGCGTCTGCACCCACCTCAGGAAGCAAAGAGCAGCACGGGACGGAGCGGGGGCCCTATGCAGGAAAGCTCACATGTCCTCGCACCCGGGGCCCCTATAGGGGCAAGGACCGGGTCAAGCGGGCATGGTCCAGGGAGCAGTGGAGGAGCTATTGAATGGAAGGGGGGTCCGGGGGTAGCTGCTCCAAGTGGAAGAGGGTGTTGTGACCCGGGGAGTGGGGTACGGGAGGAAGGTGAAAGGGGAAGGGACCAGCAAGGTACGGTTGCTGCATGGCAGGGAGGGGGCTGGATGACAGGGACGGGTGCTGCACCCAGCCCCAGCCCCTGCCGCCCACCCGCCTCCCGCTTGAGGCGCTTAGGCTACGGCATGGTCCGCCACATGGCAAGGCGGTTGAGTAAGCCTAATCGCAACACGTCTCCCCCGTCCCCCCCGTCCCCGTGCAGTTGTGTGTCAAAGACCTGCGGGAGAAGCGGGTGCTGCACCGGGAGCCGCTGGGAGGTGAGCGGCCGCAGCAGGGCCGGAGGTGGTGGGATGGGAGGATGTAGAGGGGTGGGTGTGCGGCTAGTGTAGGCTTGGGCGGGTGGGTTGGGGTTGCTGCGGGTGGCCTGTTTGAGTAGTTAGCATGGCTGGGGCCCTGGCGTTGTAAGAGGCGATGGGAGGTGACGGGTGATCGGAAGAGGAGGAGGAGAAAGGGAGGACGTGCTTGGGCGCGTGTCCATGTGCGTGCGGGGTGGCGCTCTGGCGCCCGCATGGGGTGGGGTGTTGCGGCTGGCTTGTGCTGCGGGAAGCAGGACTCCACCTCCTCCTGTGTGCATGCAGCTCATCACTGCTTTGCTCTTAGTACCGGCAGTTCCCTTCAGCGTGCCCCCTTGGCCCTTCACGTGCGCCCCAATCCACCCTCCGACCCAAACAGCCCTCCAACGCACCCCACCCCAACTCCCCATAGAGCTCGTCAATTTCCTCCTCCTTACACCCCACCCGCTGCATGCATGCATGCGTGCAGGCTCGGTCAACAACGCACTTCACATAGCGCGGCTTGCCGGGCAGCTGGTGCTGTACGCATGCAACAACGGTGAGGAGGCGCGATAGCGGTAGCGGCGGAGAAGGATGGATGGAAAGGGTGGGCCGGGTCCTGGGTTGGTATGAGGTAGAATGGAGGTTCGGGGTGTGTGGGCGCGAGGACGGGAGGGGGCAGGGGAGCCGCAGGGCGGTGGTGGCACAACAGGTCCTCGCTGGTGCTGTCCCCACCCTGGAGCCCCGCACCCGCCTCATGCGGGCCATGCCCCCTCATCGCAGCCCCTCTAACCACCGCGCAAGTACGGTACCTCGGTGCCTCTCCTCTGCCCCCCCCCAGCACCACCCCCCGCACCCCGCACCCCGCGTCCTATGGGGTTTGGTATGGTCCTTGACCCTGTCCCCCCCTTCCCCTTCCCGCTGCCGCTGCCGCTGCCGCCCCAGACTACATCGTCAAGGTTCTCAACATCGAGTCACACCACCTGCGACCCAACACCTCATTCAGGTGAGCGCGGAATGGGCGCGGAATGATACGAATTTGAAACCCTGTTGGTTCTGACACCGGTAGTGGCCTTGCTGTGATGGAAACCCCTGGGTGGGCAGGGAGGTAAGAGGCGGCGGCACTGCATTGCGCCTGTCGCCTATCACTCATAACCAGGAGAGCGCATGCCATGTTTGGATCCTCTCCTGCTTCTACCTCGTCCTGCCTCACCTTACCTCCCGTCCCGCCTCCTATCTGCGCCTCTGCTCCTCCTCCTCCTGGACCTCCTCCACCGCCCCCCCCAGGACTCCCGTGCCCATCAACTACTGCGCGCTGTCCCCGGACGGCCGCTTCCTCTCCTGCGTGGGCGACTGCCCCGAAACCATGGTGTACGCGGTGCGGGAGGGCGGCTACACGCGCGTGCACATGTTCAGAGAGGCGCTGGACACGGGTAAGTCGGGTAGCAGAGGGGCAGGTAAAACGGAAAACGGAAAACGGACGGGGCAACTAACGAGCTGTATGACAAGGCTCCACCATGGGGTGCAAACATGGCAGCTGGTCCATTCCACCCTGCCCGGGGACGGGAGGGGTGCTGTCGGGGGCGGGTTCATGTGGCTGCTGCTCACACAGCTGTCGCCTCAGTATCAGAGCCCCAGTTGCTGGCTTGGGTTCCCCTCCTCCTCCCACTCCTTAACACCCCAACCCTCTGCCCATCCCGTCCGCCTCTGCACGGGGATGCATCCGCCTAACCCCCTGTTGCTGCTGCTGTTGCCGTTGCCGCTGCGGCAAGCCTCCCGCCCAGCCTCTCTATTCACAACATGCTACCTCCTCCTCCTCCTCCCGCTCCCTCCTGCCTCCTGTTCCCACCTCCCCTCCCCCCCCCTACAATGGGTGTTTTCCTTCCCCCCTCCCTCCCTCCTACCTCCTCCCCCCAGGCATCAGCACCGCCTGGTCCCCCTCCGGCACCTTCCTGGCCTCCGCGCACCAGGACGGCTCGCTGGCGGTGTGGGACATGCGCTCACCCGAGGTGGTCTGCAAGTACCGACTCAGCACTGCATGCAGGTGGGGGAAAGAAAAGAAAAGCAAGTGGCTGGGGTGTACCGTACGGCAGCGAACGTGTACGTTATCTGACAAAAAATAATACTATAACGTACCCGCACCCATGCTGCCCAAGTGGGTGCGTCTCGCCCAACTGGTTTGCCCAGTCCTTGCTCTACTCTAACGGCATATATCCGATATCCTGCTCCGCAAACCCCTGCCGCCCGCGTCCCCCCCCCACACACACGGTCAGTTAGTTGTTAATTGTTTCCTCTTTGACCCCCCCCCCGCCCCCACGCAGGAATGTCAAGTTCTCCGCGGGCGTGGTGGACCTGATGGCCTTCGCGGAGCACGAGGACCTGGTGCATGTGGTGGATGTACGGCAGTGGAACAGCTTCCAAGACCTCAATGCGGGCTGCGGACAGGTGGGGGAGGACAGGGGGGGGACTGACAAGCTGTGTGACACAAGCTGTAACCATGGGGTGCAAACATGGTAGCCGACGCATCCGGCCGGGTGGGGGAGGGGGAGGGGGATTAATAGGGATACATATTCCGCAGTAGGCTGAATTTTAGGGGGGAGGGGATGAGGAAGGGGGCAGGAGGGGCAGTGTCTGGAGAGGTCGCTGGGTGGTGAGGAGAGGTGCGGCTGGAGGGGCCGTCGAGGGGTGCGAATGCCGGGGTTAGCTTACTTTTATCATCAACCTTTATCTGATTTTTTCCTCCTCGTGACCTCCTCCTCCGTCCCCTGTCCCCTGTCCCCCCATCACTCCCAGGGCCATGACATCTCCGGCATCAGCTTCCCCCCCTCCGGCGACCGCCTGTGGGTGGGGCTGGACGACTGCGTCATGTCATACGAACTAGATACGGTGGCACGGAGGACGTTCGGGTATGGGTCGCTGTGCTGAGGGAGGGGCCGAGGGAGGGGCCGAGGGGAGGCGGCAAACATGACGTGATGACGCTTTGAGGGCTGGGCTGGTTGCCTGTACCGGTACGGATGGCTGGTGCCTGTACCGGAGGGCCACTCATCATTCGATTGCGTCCCATGTCGCAAGCTGTAGCCTGCTGCCCTGCTGTAAAACCCTGCTTGGATCTTCCTTCAAGAGAGGGTTACGCTGCGTATTGCGGGTTTTGGCATTGGCGTGGGGAAAACAGTTGAAGAGGCCTGCACCCCTCTGGCATGTGGTCGGTTGTGGCTGGGCTGGGCTGGGCTCAGCGAAATGGGGCGTACTGGCTGGGGTATTGTACTCGGCTATGAGCCACGATGAACGGCTATGCGATGCGCACTGAAGGAGCTTGGAATGGTACTGTTGCGTTGGCGGCTTCGGCCGCACACTCCTCCCGCGTGGAGCACTTTGTTGCAAGGCGGGGCAGGGGCTAGGACGATTGAAGGTTCTGTATTGCATGGGTGTGTGCGTGTGTGCATGCATGTGCCTTTGAAGAGGACGATGGTGGTGTTGCGACCCGGGCGGTCCATGGGTTAACATGATGATGTGTGCTGCTTGCCTTGCCACGGAGGCAGCATATCGCTGGCGCTGCGCGGATAGGAACACTGCAAGGCAGCGCAGTTAAGGAAGGAGTGGCCCCGCATGGTAAGATGTTGAGCCGCAATGCTGCGGGCGATGCCCCGTTGCATGTGGTGTTTGTGGGGGTGGTTGGAGCGCTCTGTTTCCAATACGGTATGGTGGGAAACGATTTACCAAGGTGCTGACGCTACCATGAACAATACACTTCTCATCGCGTTGACAAGCCAACCCTGGGAATTCAAGTCAATAGCCGTAGTTTCATTGCGGCAGGTGGACTGCCATGCAATGTCGTTTGTGGACTTCTCCCTTTACGTGGGTTGCCGACAACGTATTTCTGAACTCACTAAATGTGCATCATCTCTGTTGCTGCGCAGCTGCACACACGCCACGCAGCGAGGATCCCTCTTCGCGTTGTAACGCTCTGCTGCTGCGCTACGTTGTATGTGCGTATGCACGTGTCTGCTACGTTCTAAGCTCACGTGCAGTGCCTGCCCCCTAACTTTGTTATGATTTATGCTCTGATTGGTTACCAGTGTGTCCCGGCCGGCTACATGCGTTGTGAGGTCATTTCCCCGTTTCGCCGCTCTACCGGTAATGTCTTTGTGACTTGGACATTTGCAATTTGGTTGGAATGTCTTTACCGACCTTCAAGGAATGTCACGTAAGCGTATTGAAGCCCTGTCTTTGAGCCAAGAATACTGAATTGTAAAGTAATGAGGTTGATAAGTGGCTGCGCCACGAGCGGATTTTTACTAAAGGATTCAACCGCTGGCAATCCTTGCCAACGGCGCAGCCGCGGGATAGCCTTCAGGCATATCTATACGATTGCGGTAGGTTTTCGGAACACGCCTTCCCTTGCGCGAAGTGCGCTACTTCCGCTGCCGTACGACTTCGGCGGCCATTCGCTTTTAAGCCCAGGACGCCAGCCCATATGTGTTTTCCAAGCTCGTGTATTGAGAGCAATAATAACACAATTCCTGTAATGATAAAATAAAGTAACCCGGCGGAAACCGTTGTAAGCTTGGTCAAGTTGTGGTAGCTGCCTGCCAATGTCCGTTAAGGAATGCTGAAGGTAAGGCTTTTGCAAACCTTGAAGGCTTATATGCGTGGTGGTACAATGTCTGGTGACCTAAGAGGTCCTAACTTGCTGACGCGCTGCAGGTGACTTTTCATGGAAACACCGTAAACTCACCTCCATCGACACCTGTTTGCAAAGACATCGGTCAATGCTGTCCAGCTGGTAAGCTGCTTTGGAAGTCGTGCCTCGAGTTGCCGATTTTCGCCTCACCATGTTGCAAAGCACGCTCAAGCTTCCTTTTGTAACATATGCAGGTCTGCGAACGACTGCGCAACCTCTGGCTTATGACCAGCTTGTCCGGGCACAACTAGGGAACAAGCTTATGAAGGTGAGACTTCGCGACAAGTGCCATTGGGTTTAAGAAGCGGCGGTACTTAGGTGGATAGTGCACATTGCCAATGTATAAGCTATTGAATAACTGTAAGAGTGCGTAATTCATTGCGTCGGCACTATGCATGTTTATGACATCTTAGCACAGTGCTGCCGATGGCCATTCTCAACTTCCCAAATCATTACCCACTTTCAATACCTTCTCCTACCGGACACAGCGATACCAATACTAACTAACTTGTTTGCCTTTATTTACTCAGGTCACGGCATAGCCTCGTGACTACCATACCCGAGCTGTGAAGAACCAAAGGCCAACACCAAGACCAAGACCAAGACCAAGATCGACATCGTTCCAAGACCAAGATAGGCCATCTCTCCATTACTTACACCAGCATAAGGTACGCCAACAGCGCCCCGAGAGGGATGTGTGAAGAGAGGAACCCGCACTGCCTGGCAAGCCAACAGTGCCCTGAGAGGGATGAGCAAAGGGAGAAGCCTGCATGGCCTGGCAAGGCTGCAGAGCCCCGAAAGGGATGATCGGAGAAAGAAGTCCGCATGGCTTGGCAAGCCAACAGTGCCCCAAGAGGGATGAGCGAAGGGAGGAGCCCGCATGGCTGGGCAAGCCGACAGTGCCACGAGAGGGATGAGCAAAGAGAGAAGTCCGCATGGCCTTGCAAGTCAACAGTGCCCAGAGAGGGATGAGCAAAGGGAGAAGTCCGCATAGCCTTGCAAGTCAGCAGCGCCCCGAGAGGGATGAGCGAAGAGAGAAGCCCGCATGGCATGGCAAACCAGCAGAGCCCCGAGAGGGAAGAGCAAAGGGAGAAGCCCGCATGGCCTGGCAAGCCTACAGAGCCCCGAGAGGGATGAGCAAAGAGAGGAGCCCACATGGCCTGGCAAGCCAGCAGAGCCCCGAGAGGGATGAGCGAAGGAAGGAGTCGCATGGCCTGGCAAGCCAGCAGAGCCCCGAGAGGGATGAGCGAAGGAGGGAGCCCGCATGGCCTGGCAAGCCAGCAGAGCCCCGAGAGGGATGAGCGAAGGGAGGAGCCCGCATGGCCTGGCAAGCCAGCAGAGCCCCGAGAGGGATGAGCGACGAGAAGAGCCCGCATGGCCTGGCAAGCCAACAGAACCCCGATAGGGAGGAGCGAAGGGAGGAGCCCGCATGGCCTGGCAAGCCAACAGAGCCCCGAGAGGGATGAGGAAAGGGAGAAGCCCGCATGGCCTGGCAAGCCTACAGCGCCCCGAGAGGGATGAGCAAAGAGAGGAGCCCGCATGGCCTGGCAAGCCAGCAGAGCCCCGAGAGGGATGAGCGAAGAGAGGAGCCCGCATGGCCTGGCAAGCCAGCAGAGCCCCGAGAGGGATGAGCGACGAGAGGAGCCCGCATGGCCTGGCAAGCCTACAGGGCCCCGAGAGGGATGAGCGAAGGGAGGAGCCCGCATGGCCTGGCAAGCCAGCAGAGCCCCGAGAGGGATGAGCGAAGGAAGGAGTCGCATGGCCTGGCAAGCCAGCAAAGCCCCGAGAGGGATGAGCGGCGAGAGGAGCCAGCATGGCCTGGCAATCCTACAGCGCCCCGAGAGGGATGAGTGAAGGGAGGAGCCCGCATGGCCTGGCAGGCCAACAGAGCCCCGAGAGGGGTGAGCAAAGGGAGAAGCCCGCACAGCCAACAGTGCCCCGAGAGGGATGAGCGAAGGGAGGAGCCCGCATGGCCTGGCAAGCCAGCAGAGCCCCGAGAGGGATGAGCGACGAGAGGAGCCCGCATGGCCTGGCAAGCCAACAGTGCCCCGAGAGGGATGAGCGAAGGGAGGAGCCCGCATGGCCTGGCAAGCCAACAGCGCCCCGAGAGGGCTGAGCGAAGAGAGGAGCCCGCATGGCCTGGCAAGCCTGCAGAGTCCCGAGAGTGATGAGCGAAGGAGGGAGCCCGCATGGCCTGGCAAGCCAACAGAGCCCCGAGAGGGATGAGCAAAGGGAGAAGCCCGCATGGCCTGACCAGCCAACAGTGCCCCGAGAGGGATGAGCGAAGGGAGGAGCCCGCATGGCCTGGCAAGCCAGCAGAGCCCCGAGAGGGATGAGCGACGAGAGGAGGCCGCATGGCCTGGCAAGCCAACCGTGCCCCGAGAGGGATGAGCAAAGAGAGGAGCCCGCATGGCCTGACCAGCCAACAGGGCCCCGAGAGGGATGAGCGACGAGAGGAGCCCGCATGGCCTGGCAAGCCAACAGAACCCCGAGAGGGATGAGCAAAGGGAGAAGCCCGCATGGCCTGACCAGCCAACAGTGCCCCGAGAGGGATGAGCGAAGGGAGGAGCCCGCATGGCCTGGCAAGCCAGCAGAGCCCCGAGAGGGATGAGCGACGAGAGGAGCCCGCATGGCCTGGCCAGCCAACAGAACCCCGATAGGGAGGAGCGAAGGGAGGAGCCCGCATGGCCTGGCAAGCCAACAGAGCCCCGAGAGGGATGAGGAAAGGGAGAAGTCCGCATAGCCTGGCAAGCCAGCAGAGCCCCGAGAGGGATGAGCGAAGAGAGAAGCCCGCATGGCATGGCAAACCAGCAGAGCCCCGAGAGGGAAGAGCTAAGGGAGAAGCCCGCATGGCCTGGCAAGCCTACAGAGCCCCGAGAGGGATGAGCAAAGAGAGGAGCCCACATGGCCTGGCAAGCCAGCAGAGCCCCGAGAGGGATGAGCGAAGGAAGGAGTCGCATGGCCTGGCAAGCCAGCAGAGCCCCGAGAGGGATGAGCGACGAGAGGAGCCCGCATGGCCTGGCAAGCCAACAGTGCCCCGAGAGAGATGAGCGAAGGGAGGAGCCCGCATGGCCTGGCAAGCCAGCAGAGCCCCGAGAGGGATGAGCGACGAGAAGAGCCCGCATGGCCTGGCAAGCCAACAGAACCCCGATAGGGAGGAGCGAAGGGAGGAGCCCGCATGGCCTGGCAAGCCAACAGAGCCCCGAGAGGGATGAGGAAAGGGAGAAGCCCGCATGGCCTGGCAAGCCTACAGCGCCCCGAGAGGGATGAGCAAAGAGAGGAGCCCGCATGGCCTGGCAAGCCAGCAGAGCCCCGAGAGGGATGAGCGAAGAGAGGAGCCCGCATGGCCTGGCAAGCCAGCAGAGCCCCGAGAGGGATGAGCGACGAGAGGAGCCCGCATGGCCTGGCAAGCCTACAGGGCCCCGAGAGGGATGAGCGAAGGGAGGAGCCCGCATGGCCTGGCAAGCCAGCAGAGCCCCGAGAGGGATGAGCGAAGGAAGGAGTCGCATGGCCTGGCAAGCCAGCAAAGCCCCGAGAGGGATGAGCGGCGAGAGGAGCCAGCATGGCCTGGCAATCCTACAGCGCCCCGAGAGGGATGAGTGAAGGGAGGAGCCCGCATGGCCTGGCAGGCCAACAGAGCCCCGAGAGGGGTGAGCAAAGGGAGAAGCCCGCACAGCCAACAGTGCCCCGAGAGGGATGAGCGAAGGGAGGAGCCCGCATGGCCTGGCAAGCCAGCAGAGCCCCGAGAGGGATGAGCGACGAGAGGAGCCCGCATGGCCTGGCAAGCCAACAGTGCCCCGAGAGGGATGAGCGAAGGGAGGAGCCCGCATGGCCTGGCAAGCCAACAGCGCCCCGAGAGGGCTGAGCGAAGAGAGGAGCCCGCATGGCCTGGCAAGCCTGCAGAGTCCCGAGAGTGATGAGCGAAGGAGGGAGCCCGCATGGCCTGGCAAGCCAACAGAGCCCCGAGAGGGATGAGCAAAGGGAGAAGCCCGCATGGCCTGACCAGCCAACAGTGCCCCGAGAGGGATGAGCGAAGGGAGGAGCCCGCATGGCCTGGCAAGCCAGCAGAGCCCCGAGAGGGATGAGCGACGAGAGGAGGCCGCATGGCCTGGCAAGCCAACCGTGCCCCGAGAGGGATGAGCAAAGAGAGGAGCCCGCATGGCCTGACCAGCCAACAGGGCCCCGAGAGGGATGAGCGACGAGAGGAGCCCGCATGGCCTGGCAAGCCAACAGAACCCCGAGAGGGATGAGCAAAGGGAGAAGCCCGCATGGCCTGACCAGCCAACAGTGCCCCGAGAGGGATGAGCGAAGGGAGGAGCCCGCATGGCCTGGCAAGCCAGCAGAGCCCCGAGAGGGATGAGCGACGAGAGGAGCCCGCATGGCCTGGCCAGCCAACAGAACCCCGAGAGGGAGGAGCGAAGGGAGGAGCCCGCATGGCCTGGCAAGCCAACAGAGCCCCGAGAGGGATGAGGAAAGGGAGAAGCCCGCATGGCCTGGCAAGCCAGCAGAGCCCCGAGAGGGATGAGCGAAGGAAGGAGTCGCATGGCCTGGCAAGCCAGCAGAGCCCCGAGAG